AGTTGTGAATGCTCCAACATTGGATGTTTTAAAGAAGAGATTGGACAACCATTTGTGTGAAAGGGCATATAGGGGTTCCTGACTAAGCAGGGAGTTGGACTAGATGACCTCCAAAGTCCTTTCCAATCCTGTTATCCTATTATTTTGTTAACTGTAGTCCCAAGACTTCCAAAGGGCACCAGTTTGTGAAAAAGTGAAGACAAGAGTTTTTCCTCATCTCGGCTGAGAAAAAGCCTTCCCAGGAAGATCTTCTTCTTATGGACTTGTGATGTTCTCCAAAGCTTTGCATTTTTCAACGGAGCCCCTCAGCTGCCCCCAGTTTGACCCGAAAGATAACTGTCACTAATTGCAGATTGTCTCTGCATTCGGTGCCTTCAGGTGGAACCAATCAGCATCTCTGTGGATGGTCCCCTTGATCAATCCTTTGAAAGAGATATCCTGCATATTCAAGAGGTCTAAAGAGACAGTTGGGGCATCAGGACAGAGACCCCAGAGAAGAGGCATCACAATGTGGGGGCTCTTTTATCGGGCTCCGGAATTCAACATCACAATAGAGGAGACACCGCAACTATCCCAGTCAACTATCTTTTCAAACGGATGGGTGGAAAAATCAAGACCTTTTCTTACTCGCTGTGTAAACAACCTGATACACATTCATTATTGTCAGGAAGATTTCAAAGGAAAGCCGTGGAATGCAGATTCTTCAAAAGGATGGGTTTTTGGGGGGAGTTGGTGGGGGTGGGGGAGAGAACCAAATGTAAATCTCTCTCTTTTCGAAAACTCTGAACTCTTCGGGATCGTAGTGGTGATGGTTTATGTGAGAAGTCATTCTTTTCTCCAAAGGGGTTTCCTTTAAAAATGGAACAATTGCCTTAGGAAAGGCATCATTTGAAAGACACAGGTTCTTCCATATGGATAAGCAAGTGTGTGTGTGAATATGTGTACATGCACACATCTTATAGCTTGCAGACAACAGAGCCAGGTAATTGCAAACAGTCTCATGTCATAAAGAAGCCAAAGTTAGCCAAAGTCTGATCTAAAACTGGCTGCAGATTCCACAGAGCACATAAATAGGTCATTGGTCCCCACCCCTCAATCAGCCCCAGGCCTTAGAAGCAAAGGTAAAGGATGCTGCCAAGGACAGTTATGCAAACTTGGAAGAGATCGAACAAGAGTGGGATCCAGCAGAAAAGACACCTGAAAAGATCCTGGGATCCATTCTGAAGATTTGGAAATATATATTTTTTTTGAAAAAGTTTTTTTATTTTTATTTCTCCTAAACATGTCTTAAATGTGCAGTCTCTTATCCGTTGTTAATCATACATATTCTCTTTTAACTCTCATGTTAGTTCATTCTTCATCCTATAGAGTATACTCAGGATTGCTCTTCTACCATTCCATCTCCCTTATTTTACAACAATCCTTCTTCTCTTTTTCCTCTTTCCTCTTTCTATCCTCTTCTACTTTCTTCTTTCCTCCTCTCCTTCCTCCTCTCCTTCCCCCCACTCCTCCCTTTTTCCTCCCTTTCTGACCTTCTCTCTTACTCTTGTTTCCCCTCCCTTCTTCCTCTCCTTTTCCCTTTCTTCTGTTCCTCTCTCTCCTTCCTCTCTTCTCCCCTCCTATCTGTCCCTCTACTCCTCTTTCCGTTCTCTCTCCATTGTTGTATTCATTTTCAATTCAATATTTTCCAAAATGGTATCTGAGCAACCCCAATATTCTATTTATATACACTTTATTTTCGGTTTCTTTTCTATTTTACTGATTTCACACATATCATTGAAGATTTGGAAATATCAGGAGCGTCTCCATGGGGAGAAGGTGTCCAGAACCCCAAGGAGACAGCTGCAAGTATGTTGTTAAAGTTTTATTCCTCATTTACATACAATGCACATGTATGTGAGGGTTTTTTTTTAATGACTCTTGCAGATAAAGAAAAAGATACTGTAGCTTATGATACCAGCTATCCACGTAAACAGGAAGCAGTTTTCCTTTCAAAGCACATCTGGAAAGGCCCAGGCTGCACACCCACAAGTGAGGAGAGCAAGCACAATCTTAAATATTTCCCTGGAACGTGTCCAAATAGACCTATGCTGAATGCTTGGAGCAACCGGGGGGAAAAAAATGCTACACAGAGATATGTAAGAGCTGTTGGACATCTTAGAGCTGAGCTGTTGGGTAGGAAGAAGTATCTGTAATTTATGGCCATTTCCCTGGTGGAAAAAAAGGGCATAAATCAAGACAAAAAGAGTGTCTCTAAAACAAGCGTATCAATTTGCTCCTCAGCCCCACCATTGCACCATTAATGGCAGGCTGAAGCAAGAAAATTCCATAAATGCAGATTTTCCTGTTTCCATCTTCATGCAATGAAAAGTATTACTTGCTTAAAGCGGGTTGCAATTGCAATAGAAAAGCTGACCTCAAACCTGGATATATATATATAAAATAACTCACATGCAGTGGTTGTTCTGAAGCCAAGGGATAAACTAATTCAAGGATCTCTCTCCATCTCTCCATCTCTCTCCATGAGAAAACACTGCCTTCCCTTCACAGCTGAGACCCAGAAATCAGAATTAACCACTTTTCAGGTTAAAGACGGTCTCTTCACACAGGGCAGGAAACCTTGGTTTATTGAATAAACCAATACTGGCTGAGTCCACGTATAACCCTCCGCTGGGGTTTAATTGTTTTTAATGTTTTAATGTTTAATGTTTTTATATATGGTTTTTAAATGCATTGTAAGCCGCCTTGAGTCTTCGGCGAAAGACGGCATACAAGTTGAACAAATAAATAAAAATAAATAAACAAACAGATGGCACCTTCAAAACTAAATCAGGCAAACGTATAGCTTTAGCCTGTGTGAATCCAGCCAATTGCTCCAGTTTCCCCCCCCACTCATTCCACAAAGTCCTCTCATTATCACCACTGTATTCTCTGCAAATAAGCCAACTAAACAATTTGAACTGAGAACCCAGCTACATTGTACCTCAAGCAATATTTTCCTTTAAAACAAATCAAGACAAAAAAAAACAAAAAACACCAGCCTTACTTTGTCTGTTGCTGTAAAATTACCTCTGCTGTGCCTTCATCAATGAAGTTTTTTTCAAGTTTTTTTTATTTATTTATTTTCTTTTTACAACATATCAAATCAGTATGTGAACAGTGTGGCACCCGAGTGTCAAACCTTCTAATACAAGTCAAACTAGTAAAATTGATCACAGTTATTACATTCAATCAACTTATACATTTCTAATAATGATACACAATAATAAGTTGCAATCTGTCATTGTTCAATTATTCCGTTTTTTTATTGTTACTTTATTTTATTAAAGTGTCTACACTAACATTCCCTTTCTTATTTCTATCACTTATCTAACTTTTAATCATATCACCTTTAACTGAAAAAAACATTTTCTTTCTATCAACTTTTTGCTCTATAAAGTTTTCGCTCTAAACAAATCCACATGTCTTTTAAGGGTTATATATACCCTTCTGTATTAGAACACGCAAAATAATAGACTCGGAAGGACTCCCCTGAAAGTTTACACAGCCTCCATTATTATTATTATTTTTAATCTGGCCTGTTTTTTTATTAAAAATGTGAGGAGACATACAGTAGCTGCACTGGGTGTGTTAATTATCTATATAGGTGCACGTAACATTACATCCCAGTTAGTTTAGCCCAGGATTCTTCACTTCTTGCTGAGATGTAACCCTCAGCAAATGACTGCAAAGTTTTGTTCCATTCCAAGCCATTTAAACACCTGTTTTCCCTAACCCAATTCTGTGAAGGAAGTATACAGGGATGAATCACAAGTGAACCAACTTCAAAGCTGTCAGGGCATCTCCTTTGAGTGTGTAGATTATGTTATTATCTGAGTCAACAGAAGTAGAGTGTCAGCCCTCACGTCTGGATGCGTGCCAGCAGAAGATTGCCTCTGCATCTGACGGGGCAAGGCCTCGCCTACTAACATTTGTCCCACAACGAAAAAGCGTTAGCCCAGCATTTCCACAGCAAACTTCGCTGCAACATTATTTCGGCATTCCTATATCTACTTATGCAGAAAAGTACATGCCAGTACGCTCAATGGGTTTATCCGTAGGCAACAGCGTTAGCTAATAATCTAGCGTGCCATTGATCTATTTGCTTATATTTAAAAAAATCATCCTTTAGCTACACAGCGCTCATTACTATTCAGAAATCGCATTGTAGAATAAGTCTAGAAAACAGATTTCTCCCCCCCTTTTTTTTTTACATTACTGTGCATAAGTGGTTATCAGTTGAAGTTTTTGGGTTTCCCCTATTTGTTTCTTCACATTAATAAAATGCCTAATTTGATAGGCTCTCTGGGGAAAAAAATACCCTCAACAGCTTTATCCACCGACCAGCAGAAATTCAGAAGCACCTCTCTGTACCCTGGGAAGAATCTTAAATTCTCTCCCAGCCGAGATGTTCTTATGAAACAGCAATAAATCCAGGATCATTTCCAAAAATAATAAACATCCAAAACTCCATAAGAAATAACGATCAGCTTAGCTGTACCCTACAGGAAAGGGACGACAGCTCCCTTGGACAGCTTCTTCTTCTTCTTCAAACGTTAAGAGACACTGCTTACCCCTTTTCCAACTCAACTGGCATTTGCGAAAGGGAGGGGTGGAATATCCCAAACTTCAGTTGCACCCGGGGCAAAACTTTGCTAAAATATTTCGCGTCCCACGCCCCATTACGCGGAAAAGACTGCCATTAACTCTGAAACCAAACTCAGCAACCCACTCCCAGTTAATGAAAGCAGCTCGTTTTTGAAAAAGGGAAGTAAAGGGGGCTTGGAATGACAATTTCTAGTTTCCTAATTTTTTTTTTTCTTTTTCTTCTTCCCCTTCTCGCCGGTCAGAAAAAGCTGCTGGAAATCGCGCGGCGGCAGCAGCAGCAAAAACCAGCTTTGAATCCCGTCGCTCCCGAAAACGCAGAGGTAAGGGGCAAAAAAAAATACCAGTCCACTTACTCAACGTCATTAGACATGGTCCACCCAGGTTTTTCAATGTCGGCTTAGCCAAAAGGTGGTTAGTTTCCTTTCCCTCCTTTGACTGAAGCGCTCCTAGCACCGTCTAAAGAGAGTCATCAGCTGTGAAGTGAAGACTTTCTTTCAAAGTTAGAGGTTTATGTTGTACAGGCGTTCTGCTGACAGGTAGGTTCTGTCAGATTCTTGCGCCTGATTGGCTGGGAGAGACAGGTGCCAGGAGACAGGTACACCTCAGCAGGTGCAACAGTTAACCCTTTCCAAACCAGGCAGCGAGGAAGAGCTGCCATATCGGGACAAGTGTGTGTGTGTAGAGATGAAGTGAATTGAAAGTGGTTTTGGGGAGAGAAATAAAGGAGAGAAAGTCCAAGAATGGAGGTTTATATATATAAATGGAGGTTTATAAATAGAAAATGGAGGTTTATAAATAGAAAAGTTTGTTTTGTGCTCATCTGGAGGAAGGGTTTTAAGGCAGTGGAGGGAGACAATTTGCTAGCATATCTGCCATTCTTAAAAGATGCAGAAAAATGTCATTCTGTCTGCAGCCAGCAAGGACGTTATGTGGTATCTGTCCCCCCCCCAAAAGGAGGGGGGATGGTTTAGGCAGAAGAGGGGATTTTAAAAGGGGAAAGTTTTTTACTCTTGGACTTAGCAAAGCTGCACCAGCAACATTTCAACTTTAAATGGTTTATTTACAGCCAGGTGGCCAAGACAGAATAAAATATCCAGTCATAGAATTGCTTCATGTACCTATCTATTTATGAAAGGCAAAGGCATATAGGACAAGATCAAAAGATAAATAAGAACGTATAAAATAAAATAAATGAAATAAAAATGGTATTGTAATGACTGATGCACACATCCAAACGGATCCTCTGTTAATAATGTTGATAGTGTTAATCATGTTAATAGTCTTAATAGTCTGTCATGTCGTACAAATGGTGACACAGAACTAGACAATCCAGGACATAATTTTGAATATCCCTCTTTTCTACAGACATAATTTTAAATTCCACTCTTTTCTTCAGACATAAACATTACATACAATACCTTATCCTCCATATTGCATCTGGCCCATAAGGGCTGGTGTGAGAATATGGGAAGAAATCTTATTTTGTTTGAGTCTATTTCACCTACTGCAGCAGCAGCACTGAAGGATCTCAGTAGGGATCCTTGGGGTGATGGGTTAGCCTGCAGGGGTAGGTCAGGATGAACCTAAGACCTTGGTAAGTAAAGGAGGACCTCTATCACAGAATGGGTGACATGGCACTCAGAGGGCACCAATACCCTGGTAACCTGCCCCTCTTTGCCCTCCTGTTTTTAACATGGTTGTTTGGTTTACAAACAATTAAAGAGAAAGTTGCTATGCTGCAGAACGAAGTGCCAGCATCTATCATTATATTTACTCTGAGCAATGCCCTTGGACTTGAATGCCACAATAGAAATTATGCCAGGCAGTGATTTTGCCTTCTCGCCAGGAGGGCTTTGGGACAGGCCATGCCCACCCTAGCAGCTCTTTTGGGAAAGTTGGCCAATTTGTGAGTACGTTTAACACACACACACTTTTAAAATCCCAAGTCTGCTGGCAGCCCCCAAAAATTGCCTGATCAAGGGCTGCCATTAAATTCATGGCAGTGGAGAATACGCAAGGATAACTGAACTTTCACATGGATGCCAAAACATATACAAATGCAATTATGCCCACACAGAGGCTACAATGGACTAAGAGTGATGCCAGGAGTGTGTGATGTGTCATTTCTCTGTTTTGTAATCCATCCAGTGTGGTATTTACATTCTGTAATCTTCAATTTCAGAATGCAGATTGGGGAAACATTTACTTTACAAGAATATTCTTGTGCGTTTGTCCTGACACACCCAAGGGGAGTGAACGTGCTGTGTTCTTCTGTGTGAGTATGGCAGTGGGAGGGGGGTACTTTTAATCTCAAGGACCATCTGTCCTTCAGACTTGCCCTCTGCTTAGAACAGGGTTGCTCAACCTTAGCCACTTTAAGATGTGCGGACTTCAACTCCCAGAAATCCCCGATCAGCATGCTGCCTCAGGAATTCTGGGAACTGAAGTCCTCACAATTTAAAGTTGCTGGGGTTGATAAAACCCCAGAGGTGTCAAACTCGATTTCATTGAGGATCGCATTAGGATTTTGTTTGACCTCAGGGGGGAGGGGCGGGTGTATGTGTGGCCAGGGTGGGCATGGCCAGCTCAATGTCAGTCATGTCGGGCGCCTGTGGCAGCCTGAGCACTCTGCCAGCAAAAATGGGCTCCCGAGCTTCGTTTCCAGCTGCGGCGGCCTGCAACCCTCAGCCAGCGAAAACGGAGCTCGGGAGGGCCTTCCCGAGCTCCGTTTTCGTTGGCAGAGGGTTGCAGGAGGCTGTCGCAGCCGGAAATGAAGCTTGGGAGCCCGTTTCCGCTGGCAGAGGTACTGTGGGCCTGTCCCTCACTGTTTCCAGGGTGGCCCCGTGGGTCAGATCTAAGCACCCTGCAGGCCGAATCCAGTCCGCGAGCCTTGAGTTTGACACCCCTGATAAACATTGACTTAGAATCACCCTCTGGTGTTCTGCTGTGAATATTCTCACTTTCAGACATAAGGGAGGTAGAATCCATAAACGGAGTCTTTTCTGTGATGGCCCCCAATAATTTGGGGTCATCACAGATGTGATGGCCTTTTCTGTGGCCTTTTCTGATGGCCTTTTCTATGATGATGGCCCCCGAGAATTCTTTGATTCCAACTCACTTGTTATAGGTGGTAAATCAAAACATTTGTATTTTCCCAGGCAATTTCCATATAATCCTCCAGCATTCCTATTTATAGCTATTGTGCTGTAATTAATGTTCGGCATTGTACTGTAAATAGTATTAAATTATTATTAATAAATAAATATTGTTAGATAGTTCAGTGTTTTATTCTGCTTCTGAAGATGACTGTGGAAATGGGTAATTTTAGATTGGCAGTCTCATTTGAGTAATTTAATCAAATGAAGATTAAGATCGATTAAGATTAATTTAATTAAATAAAGATTATTTCCCCCAGGAATGTGTTATTTCTCAAATTTGTCCACTTTTAAGATGTGTAGACTTCAACTCCCAGAAGCAAGCTGACTGGGGAGTTCTGGGAGTTGAAGTCAGTGGTGGGTTTCAATTTTTTTTACTACCAGTTCTGTGGGTGTGACTTGGTGGGCATGGCATGGCTTGGTGGGTGTGGCTTGGGCGTGGCGGGGAAGAATACTGTAAAATCTCTTCCCACTCCACTCCAGGGGAAGGTTACTGCAAAATCCCCATTTCATCCCAATCATCTGGGACTCGGGAGGCAGAGTATAGATGGGGGCGGGGCCAGTCAGAGGTGGTATTTACCGGTTCTCTGAACTACTCAAAATTTCTGCTACCAGTTCTCCAAAACTGGTCAGAACCTCCTGAAACCCACCTCTGGTTGAAGTCCACACCTCATAAAATGACCAAGGTTGAGAAACTCTGTCCAAGCAAATTCTTTAATCCCACTGTGAAGCTGGCCATTTGCTTTGGCGGTGGTGGCCATTGCTACTTCTCACAGGACTGAATTCCAGGGTTTCTCAAGGCTCCGTTAAAATGAGTTCCCCATCACCGACATGAATGGGACTGATCTCAAAGAAAAACTAAGCAGCTGGTTGTTTCTTGTATGGGAAACCACCAGGAAATTATAAGGAAATTGTCAAGTCAGAAGACAGGAAACAACTTGGAAAAAGGCAGTGGCAAATCACTTCCAGGTTATTGTCAAGGAAATGATACACAGGTGTCCATGAATCTGCCAGGAGTTCAGATCGTTGGAAGGATGCTTAACTTTTGCTTTCTTTAACCTACACCTCCAAACATCATATTCTTAATATTATGAGAAAAGAAGGAAGAGTAACTTTCTCTTTGTCTACTCCCACTCTGTAATATGTCACTTCTTATACCCCCCCCTTTTTTTTTGAGGCATCCTTGGTGGTTTCCGAACTTGGCTGTTTTCTTGCAGCTGTTTCATTACCTAAGCTATCTAACATCATTAGAGCCGAGGTGGCGCAGTGGTTAGAGTGCAGTACTGCAGCTACTTCAGCTGACTGCTAGTTCAGCAGATCAGCGGATCAAATCTCACCGGCTCAAGGTTGACTCAGCCTTCCATCCTTCCGAGGTGGGTAAAATGAGGACCCAGATTGTTGGGGGCAATATGCTATTTAGTATACTGTCGATTGTTGTAAACCGCCCAGAGTCCTCGGAGAGTGGGCGGCATAGAAATATGAATAATAAAATAAATAAATAAAATAAATCATCGATGCTAGCAGGGAAACCCACCAAGCTCAGAGAGCACCAAGTATCCCTCATTTCAATCTTGAGCTGCAATCCTAGCACCAATGATGTTACCTAGTTTGGGTAATGAAACATCTGCAAGAAACCTACCAAGCTCAGTGAGCACCAGAGGCCCCTCATTTCAACCCCTGAGCTACAAATGTTCCCCTTTATGGAGAACTTTTTATCAACTTTTTTCATAGAGATCGCTCCAGCCCTTACATCATTTTCTTTCCTCTTTTCTACAATAACTCTGCATTAATTTTATCTCCACCAGGGATGGGCAATTGGAAGCCACAGGGCCACAGGAGATCATCAAGCCTTCTTTTGCAGCCCTCAGAGCATCCTCTGTCCTTCGGAAGTTGTGGAAGCTTCATCACTTGAGACTTTCGAGAAAAGATTGGACCGCCATTTGTCAGAAATGGTGTAGAAATGGTGCTTGAGCAGGGGGTTGGACCAGAAGATCTATAAGGTCCCTTCCAAATCTGTTAAATCTGTTAAATCCTTGCCTGCGGAAAGGTGAGTGGGGAAAACTGAAAATTATGGACACCATAAGCATCATTTTTAAATCAAGGAACATCTACCTCTCCAAACTGAGTTCATCCACTCCTTGTACTGTCCCTGGTAAATCATAGTTATGGTCCTTGGGCTTCCAAGTGTTTTCCTACTCCTCAATCAGGTATTTATTAAAACTACGGGACAAGAGATTTTGCTTTGGAAAACACCTGTCCTCTCTCTTGTTCTCATACAGTAAAAGTAAAACTACTGGATCTCAGCTGCTAAAATCCAGATGTTCAATGAGATGTTCTAAATTCATCCATTTTCTTGGTTTGCTCAATTTCTTAAACCTACACTC